AGAAAATTTTGAACTGATATTATACTTTTTGGACACATTTTATATTTGGTAAGTTTAGACTGTTCCTTGAATATAAAATTTTACTGTAAAATATTTATTATCTTTGGGCCGTGGTAATGTTAATTCATCTAATTCTGAATTTTCCGTTTATGTGTTAAAAGGAAACAGTTTACTAAAAATAACCATTTATTTTGAGAAAATTCGGATTATTACATAAATATTTTCAAATGAATAAAAATAAGATTTTTTAAAATTGAACGAACGTAAAACACGAACGCGTTTGGTAAAAAAAAAGGAACGCATTCTCGTTCAGAGTTCGTTAAAAATAAAATAATTCTTGCGAAGGCGTTCATTTACAACATTTCTTTTTATATATGGCATTCTAGATCATATTTAACAAGAACTAATATGACAGAATATACAAAGAGTATAGTTGTGGAGGGGAACTTATCCCAGTACGGGATTGATCAGGGTATGTAAGAAATATTACATTTAAAACGTATTTTCAAACAGGGAGTTATTGATTTACATTCAATTGTGGTTCATCAATGTCCAACATTATTCCCTTGATAGAAGATACTTTCCACATTTATTTGGATATTGATACCTATAAGGTCTAAAGATAAAGATACCAATACAATCTTTAAAATGAATAATTTTATAATACATTTGAAATCGATGGTTAAATTCGCTAATTTTGTTTTATAAAAATTTGATTCATATACTTCTTTGGAAAATTCTACCAATCAATCGATAAATGATTTTTTGTTGGTAATATGTGGAATTCTGAACTATTAAAAATAGTTCAACTTCGTTTATAATAAAATCAATCATTAAATCATCTAGTCTAGTTGGAAATATATTGAAGTATTTTTTTTAAAAAAATCTCTAAGTTTATGAAGGGCAGGCATAGTTGACCATTTTCTTTATTTGAACCTTTTCGTTTTGTATTTATCAAAATAGTCCTGAGAAACGCATAAATCATGCTTACTTCTTTGAAAGATGCGATTTTAAATAAATTGAATACAAAAAAATAGTATAACATATTTGTTGTAGCTGTTGAAAAAAAGAAGAAATAAATTTAATATAATACATAAAATGTCAGTTATTTTCTGACAGGGGAATTAGTCTATCCTGGTGGAGGGGAAGAAAACTAGAAGATCACGGTTGATTGTCAATAAAAGTCCTTTGTTGGAGATTTGGAGTGAAGATAGTGGATTAATTGGAGAAGATGTCAGCTGGGAAGAACAAAGAATGGACCTATGGGGATGAAGAATATAAGAAGCTGGATAATTATTATTTATAATCTTTATATTTTTTTTAATGGATAGATAAATATAATTATGAATAAATATGGATCGTCGTTAATTATGGATTTGTTTTATTGTTGCCGTCGACAGGATCTACTTAGGGATTAATGCGGTTTTAAAGGTAAAACAAAATTTTTGTTGATATATATTTTATCTGATAAATTTTTGGCAGCGCAGTAATACTAACCACGATACAGGGGGTCAGGAAAAGGTGAGATTAAGAGGTGAGTTTATAATTTAATATTAAATATTTAACTTAAAAGGCTTAAGATAGAAAGTATGTAATGAGTATTAGGCAGGAATATGAAAATAAGATCAGGAATTTAAGACAGTAATATTTAGTATATTATATGTCTAGATGTATATTGTACATCCAATTTTGATTATTATTTGATACGCCTTAAGACTCATTGAATGGTGCTATAGGTATTCCGTCATAGGAAGCTAAGACCTCAAGATCAGCAGGACAGAAAGGATTGCTAAATATTTGAAATTTAGGAAAATATATATGGAAATAGACTTTTGTAATAAAGTGTGTATTATATAATCATGCATTTTGGGTTTTTAAAGGGATGGACATGTGTGGGATCATTTATTATTAATTAATGTTAATATATTGTATTTGTAATTTAGTTTCAATTAAGGTTGATATGTTATTAAGGGATATCATTTATTATTAATTAAGGTTAATATATTTTATTTGTAATTTAGTTTCAATTAAAGTTGATATATCATTAAGTGATCCATTGAGGGTGAGTTAATGTGGTTTATTTTGAAGTAATTAACCATTTTTATGAAATAGAATGTAATGTGAATTACATATATGATATGTTTAATTATGTATGATAATTTAAAGGAATTGAAGTATGATGAAGTCAGAATAATATCTATAATGTTAGATGTGGATAGTTATTTTGATTTAGTGTCTGCATTTGGTATATATATAAATTGGGTAGGAATTTATATGATATATTAGATGATGTATAATATTTTTTTCCAAATTATGAAATCTTTATATTTAATATATATATATTTTTTTTAAATTATAAAATTTTATAAAAAGTTATATTTGCAATTATTATATTATTTTTATGGTATGCAATGATGTGAAGGGAAAATATTTTTACAGATAAGGTCAGCCCGTGTTGATGGGTATGCCTTGAGGTGGGAATATTGTTTAGTTTGCATACTGGAGAAGGTTTCTTTTTGTGTAAATTTTTTTTGTAAATTTATGCTACATATTACATTTTTTTATCTTTGTAATAATTGTATAGTACATTTATGCTACATATGACATTTTTTTATCTTTGTAATAATTTTATAGTACATCACATTTTACTATTTATTTTATGAACATTTTTTTTTAATAAAAAAGACTCAAATTATTTTATATTGTGAAGGTATATTAAAAATTCTTTACATATATACCATATAGCCCATTATATTCTCAATTTTTGTTACTTTGCATTCTACATTTTTGTGAATTTGTGCTAATTGTGATGGCAGAGTTAGGTAGAAATAGGATATTTTTCTTAGGATACTGAGTAATTCCTAGATGGAAAATATTTTATTTTCTACATATTATATATTTTTCCGCCCTATAAAATATGAAATTTATTTCTTTACATATGTCTTGTAATTTTATTTAAAATCTTTGTTCGGCAAATTGTCACAATTATTTTTAATACCTAAAAATGGATTTTTATATCTATTTTAGGGGATATTTATAAAGATGTAGCTTTGATTTTGTTTACATGACAGAAGGACAATTACATGTGTTGAAATTGCATTTCACACATAGACAATGTGTTCACATTACAGTATTATATGTAAAATCATTATTTCCTAATTACCATTAATCATACCAAAATAATGAATATTATAGCTCATATTTCCCAAATGTCTTAAAATGAATGAATTATTATGTTTTGCTGATATTACATTGTCCATATTAATGTTCCATAGATTATAAATTCAGATACCCCAATGCACATGTCATTATTGATAATATGTGTTTTCGCATAAACATCATAAGGGAAGACGATTCGACAAATTCCCTGAACGTCTTCAAGGCTTCCCGATACAATTCAAAGGGGCGATTCGATACAGTTCAAAGTCGATACAATTCAAAGTTGATACAATTCAAAGGGGCGATTCGATACAACACCACCACAGAGAGAGGGACGCTGGGCTTGTGAAGGGTGGGCGTGTTGTAGCTGTTGAAAAAAAGAAGAAATAAATTTAATATAATACATAAAATGTCAGTTATTTTCTGACAGGGGAATTAGTCTTTCCTGGTGGAGGGGAAGAAAACGAGAAGATCACATGGTTGATTATCAATAAAAGTCCTTTGTTGGAGATTTGGAGTGAAGATAGTGGATTAATTGGAGACAGTGGCGTAGCTACGGGGGTGGTTTTCGGGTTTGGACCCCTCCCAGAGCAAAATTTTTTTTTAGATTATACGTTCAAAAGACTTAAAAGTTACTTTATATCAAATACCATTAATATATATATATTTTTTGGTTTTGATGTTTGTGAAAGGATATTATATTACTATTGAAATTATTCTGGGTAGTATTATTATAAAGTCATTGAGAATAATCTACGATGCATTTAAAAAATATATTTATTATATATTATCGAAGATATGGTTATTGATTTTTAAGATAAACCCGGCCGAAAGCCGGGCAAAAGTGCCGAAGCCCCAGTTAAAGGGGTCTGAGGGGCTTCGCCCCCCAGGCTTTTATATGTATGGACCCCCTCTAAGGAAAATTTTTAGCTACGCCACTGATTGGAGAAGATGTCAGCTGGGAAGAACAAAGAATGGACCTATGGGGATGAAGAATATATGAAGCTGGATAATTATTATTTATAATCTTTATATTTTTTTTAATGGATAGATAAATATAATTATGAATAAATATGGATCGTCGTTAATTATGGATTTATTTTAATATTTTTAACATGAAAGCCGTAAAATAAAATTGTATCGATTATGCGACTCCAATAGTTAGAAATATATCTAAATAACGAATAACTTCATCAACATATATAATATATATGGATATGCTCGTGCACTACTTTGGAAAAATAATCTTTTGTTTGATAATCTTGTATATGTAAGCAAATGCGATCGAGTTTGGTGAAAATAAATTTCGGTTATATCAATTTAGGTGTAATTTTTATGAAAAATCTTTGTATAATTAGGAGCAAGGTAATATAATGTTTTAAATATTAACGCCGAGGATGTAAAAATGCGATCCTAGAGGGTCAGAAATATTTCATAGTGAATCGAGATAAGTTTAGGAAAAGTTTAATCTTTAAAAATTCTATTTGTGGAGCATAAATTAAACTGTCTCGCAATAAGATTTACAGATTCATGGTGATGGAAAGACTACCTAAACCCTTTAATGGACATTTGGAAAAAATTTATGTTTAAATTATCTCTAAATTGTAAATAATTATGAACCTAATTTATAGTCAACACATTTTAGCGAAAGATCTAACAATTGTAAAATATATTTTTAAAGACAATCTGAAGTGATTCGGAGATAAATTCTTTGAATTTATAGAAGGATCTAATTTTTTAATTAAATATAATACATTATATATTTTTTTAAAGCGAACATAATATTCTAACAAATTAAACACAATGATTTTTGTTCAGATATAAATGCATGTTATAATTAAATGAATTTCGAATAATTATATTTTCCAAAGCTTTTCCAAAGATTCTGAATCTGATATCACATTCTTTTTTGAATTCGCATCAAAATTATTTTGAATTTTATCGCTATTTTTAATAACATTTACATTTTCATTATAGTTGATTTGACGAGATCTAACTATAAAAAAATTCATTAATATGAAAATCATAATTTTAATTTTATAAAATGAATAAATATTCCATGGATTATATAAAGATGTTAGATTATATCTATATACCTTCTGAAGAAACGATTATATTTTTATTGGTCGACATATTATGATCGGACTGAGAATTTTTTAGAGTATCACAATCGGCCTTGTTGTTGACTTGATATATGTCATAAATTTTATGATCCATATCAGAATGTGTACCTTTATTTTCGTCTAACAAATCCATGATAAGAGCTTCCTTTTGCGCCAAGTTAAACTTTAAATTTGTAATTCTAAAAAATTGAAATAATCATAGTTGTTGCATATATAGCTTCATTTTATTAGTCACAGTGTATCCTTTTTCAAAGAAATAACTGCCTTTTGCAATTTCAGTGTCCTTTTTAATATTAATTAAATTCGGTTAGGTCATTAAGTTTTTGAAAAAGGATACCATGTGATCAAAAAAAATTTTATGATAATTATGTGCATAATATTTTTAAATTTAAAAGACGGATGTTATTAAACTACATATTAAATGATTACTAAAAAATAATAATAACCGCTCTATGAGTTCGTTATTGTCCCGGGTGGCTGAAGCCACTAATGCGGCGGGAGATTCTTTAATATAAGGAATATTTTTGGTATGACTAAGGATATTCTTGAGTGTAGATTCGTGGTCGGCAGGGGCAATGAGTTTAACCGATTGTTTAAACAATGAGCACAGCTCGGGATGAGAATCGGAGGCAATAGATGTTGAAGAAAACAAAGGTATATTCCTATCGCTAGCAGACAAATGGGAAAAATTGTCTTGAACTAATTTTTGCGCCGAAATTTCGTTGAGGGAATGAGAAGAGGATGTCAACGCTATAGAAAGTTGGTCTTTAAGGAGTTTGCGTATGAAGGGAGGAAAATGGTCAGCGAGTGATGATACCTATAGGAATTGTATTTATAACTCATAAAGTTTATTATTGATATCTATATCTAAAAAATCAATTCATTCTTCCTTTTATAGCTTTTTTATCTATAAGTTCATAACTTATAATTATTAACTCCATTAATAATTCTTTAATATTATGTTAAGTTCGTTTGGCACAAAGAATTGAATAAAAAATGAATATTAATAATACTATAAAATATAATTTATAAAATAAGGTGTAAAACCAAATTGTGCTGCTAAACCGGAATAAACCGTTATAATTTTCTGAACCATAATCGAACCATTAAAAAAATCAAAAAAGACTACTGAAATTTTATAAATACATTCGAACCAGTTCCTGGTTTATGACGGTTTTATAAATTAAATTTATTTATTTTAAATGGTTAACATGAAATATTTTTATTTTTTTAATTAATTCGTTCTAACATAAAATTTATATATGTTTTTAAATATATAGCATTTTTAAAAAATCAACTTCATTTCTTTAATTTTTGTTTGGTTTTTATTATCAAAAATTTTTAATACACTTTTATTAAAGATTACTAGATCAATTAAAAAATATGTATTATGATTAATTAAAAAATCCAAAACTTATAAAAATGAGAACAAAAAAATCGAAATGAATTTCTAAAGCGAAATACTTAACAGTTCGACACCCTACTTACAAAAGGCTTAAGAAAGTTTAAATAATAAAATTACAGTGACAATTTTTATTACTATTTCTTCCAATCTTAGAACGTTAGTCTGAGCTTGTAACAATGCTTTTTGCAAAACTTCTAATTGAGACATCTGTTCAACGAAAGTCTTTTTTTGCGCAAGAATTTCCATTTCTTTTTTCTCATTAATAGCTATCAATTCCTTATCTATTTATTATGAAAAAACATATACATTGCAACAAATATAATAATTATCAATTCTAACAAAATAGTATTTTTTGTAAAAATTAAACATTTTAATAAATTCATTTTACTAACTTTGACTAATCATTTGGCCGATTATGACATCTTTTTTGTTAAGTTCGCTCGTAATATTTTCCAAAGAATTAGTTTTATAATATTTTACATTTGCTGATTGATCGTTGCCAATATCTTTCAATAACTTTTTTTCTAGATTAGGTTCTTGTTTATCGCGATCCGCGGCAGTGCAGAGCAAGCGATTGCGGCTATCAAATATATGTATGTTTTCTATTTTAAAAAGAGTACATGAATAATTAAATCATCCATTAGTTATACTAGTGTTAATTTAAGCTAATACTTAGTTTCTTACCTAATAATTGTTGATTTTGTTCCTTCAATTTTTTTATTTCCGTTTCAAGTTTCATTCTTACCATCTTTTCCAAGTTTTCTCTTTTCTCGTTTGCCTGTATAAGAATGTCGTGACCTCTTTGAGTATTTTCAAGGGCTATTTCTAACTAAATGTAGGTATAAAATATATATTTTCCATTTTATTGATTTTTTCTATATAATTCAAGTATTAAATTTAAAAAAATATATATTTAAGATAACTTTTGGCAATGGTAAATGAATTTAAATTTCTTTCTTTGTATAATATTTGGGGAAAGATAAAATATCATCTTATTTATTTAAAATTCAAGATTTAAAAAAAGGGATGTGGTATCTAAACGTTAAATTACTTTATAAACGTTAAATTACTTTAAAAATATATATATTATACACATAATAAAAATAATTTGCATTAAATTTCTGTTTAATCGCGATTATAAAATAAAAAATGAAAGATAAAAAGTTCCTATTTTTATTTAATTTCTATTGACTGATAAGACAACTTAGTAATATCCTAGTAATAGTTATGATCGTATATAATATTATGGGAAGGGGGCAACTAATTCTTTTCATTGAGGAAAGAGAGTAATTAATCAAATTACTTTTTGAATTTGACATATCTTTTTTTCGTGTTGCTCCAAAGTCTTTCGCAATGAGTCATTTTCCCTAGCCAGCATATCTACCATCTTGGCTGCTCGAACAGCAATGGCAGCCTCCGTCTCGTACATAGAAGTAGGGTTAACCTTGGCACTCAATTGGCAATAATTAATGTAGTTATTGATTGGATACCCGAAGTTTTGAAAATTTATATTTTGATTATCATAATCTTTCTTGGCGCAAAACGATTTTGGGTTTGAAAACGAATCTTGGTGTGTTATGGACACCACATTGTTTGAATGGATCGAAGGAGATTGATGTATTGTCGAAGCATAAGGTAATAGTAACACATTATCTGACTGAGGAAGATATTCTCTGTAAAAGTTATTTTCATTTTATTTTAAGCATCTACAAAATTAAATTCGTAATTAGCAGAGCTAAACACCTCTTTTGTTTCAATATTATATTATTTTGTTAAAAAAATAATTCATTCGGACTAAAAAGAAATCCGCAGAAAGAAGGCAAAATTTCCCATATAAGATACTTTTTATGTAACATTTATATGGTATAATAAACCCTTCTAAAATGTTAATTTTATTAATAATGATCAATTATATATTATAAGTAGTAATTAGATTAAATGAACGCCATTGACTAATGACGGCAGATATTTTATTAAATTTGAATCGAAACGTTACACAGACCATTTCATCTTAGGTCTGCTAAAAAAATTTGGTCGATTTTGATGCATGATAGGCAAAGGGCATTGTTTTGTTGAAAAACAAATCCCCATGCGGAAACAATACATTTGTCAAATCATGAGCTTTTTCGATTAAATATCTTGATACGAGTTTATAATGCTTTCAAAAAAGCACATATTACTTACAAGTCCATAACATAATTCTTGTTGGTAAATTGAGGGCCCTTTAAGACAGTCTGCTTCTGTAAGCCTGTTAACATAAGCCTTTTCTTTGTCTCAAAAATAGCAGAAATTAAATATATATATTTTTTTAAATAAAAGTCTCATATAGTTGATACTTCTATTGCAAAAGGGATCCTTTTTAAACAGTGAATTCCAATCAGATGTATATTGGTACATAAAATGAATGCTAATTTTACATGAATAAATTTTTTAAATATCTCGAATCTTTGGATTGTAACATTTATTAGCCCTTTTCGAAAAGAACTGTTAACTTGAATTTTTAGATCTATATATGATGTCACAAATAGTTTTACGACATCATTAATATTTCCAAAAAAAAATTTAAATATGGATCCTATCTTAATGAAATAGAAAATTTAATTTTTTGATTCAAAGGAATTTGATAATCTTACTATTTAATTAAAGTGCAACTTTAATATTTAAAACATACAACAATAGCACACGAAAGTGTCAAACATGAAAAGAGATTATACAAACATTTAATTTATATGTAAACCGTGCAAATTTAAGAAGTGTCGATCAATTTGATTTATGATATTAGATTGATTTGTATACTATTTAAGTTACAAAATTATATATATGTTTAATAATTATTTTGCATAGTATATAGAGCATGTTAACTTTTATAAAATTTATAGATTATATTATCCCATTATTATCTATACAAAATTGTATGTTAAAATAAAATATAATAGTTATAAAAAATGTATCGCTATCTAATTTGATTAGAGTCATATATAATTAATACCCATTGATGTAATTTTCACATTTCCCTATAATAATAAAAAGACTATGAAAATAATATTTCATCATGTTAGTGTTTATTTTTACTTAGACATTTCTGAAGTAAGGGAAATTAATTTTAAAAAATTACGACTGAATTTAATGGAAAACAGCCACAAATTTTTGAATAGTCTAAAATTTGTGCATAGCGGTGGTTATGAATAACTTTTAATAAATGTAGTTAGAATTTCAAAAAAAAAATATTAAAGAATACCAACTCTGAAATATATTGTTAATTTTTATTTAAAAATATATTATATTAAAAAAAGATTGATTTAAACCAGGGATTCAAACCGAACCTGAACCAAAACTTTAAACTGGTATTTTTATTGAACCTGATAAGTAAAATAATTTTTTATCCGAGTAACCGAACAGCTAAAAATACTTGTGTACCGGTTTGAGCTTCATGACTTCATGCTTAAAAAACAATGTGAAAGTTATATTGCTAAAATTCTCATTTAAATCCAAATTGTTTTAGAGATTATTATTGTCAATTTTGATTCATAAGTTTCGGTAAATTTTTTATATTGCTATTTTACAACATTTAATAAATATTTTAAACTTCCTTTTTTATATTTAAATTTAAAAAGCACTTATTAATACACAGGGATAAATTAAATTCAACATATAAATTGCTTACATAGTATTATTATACATCTAAATGAACATGGAATTAAATTGTTATAATTATAAGAGCGGAAGTTTCTTGTGAAAATGAATCAATATCAATGACTGGATCTTCATCTAAAGAAGATTTATTATAAAGTTATCTTTAAACAAAAAAAAGATGGTATGAACAAAATTTAGACTTAGTGTTGTTAAACGACTTGATTCTTAAAAACAGTTAACTCAATATTTTAGTCAAAAAATGTTATGCAAGTCTCGAGATTTCGTTAATAGATGTCCAAACCTTTCATTTATGAGCTAAATCTCCAGGCCTGTGTAATATTTTTGGCTAAAATTATGGGTTACCTGTTTTTAAAAATCGAGCCATTTAACAACACTAATTTAGATTGATCAGAGAATATTAGAAATATTTTAGTTAATTAATGAATATATTCTATTGGAAAAATCAGAGTAATCGATTCCCTGAATTATATAAATTGTCTAATGTTATAAAGTGTCGGTTACTCAAGTTAGCAGAGAGATAAAATTTATAGTTTCTATATATAAATATAATTTGAATGATGTGAATCAAGAAAATATTTTAATTATACAGCTCAATAATATTTTTTTTAAGTAATAATGTTGAATATTGCAGTGAATATATTATGTTTATTTGTTATAATTTATAAATTAGGCATTATAATTAATTAAAAGTTTTATTATTATTGATAAAATTTAAAAAAAATGTGATTATCTATATATAATTCGAATGTAAGTTTGAGTTCAATTCGGTTTTTAGAGGTTCGAACCAGACCGATTTATTTAAGAACCGAACCTAAATCCTGAGCCGTTATTTTTATTTGAATAGCACTGAACCAATATTTGGTTTTGATTCGGATCCCTGAATTAAACAATAAAATTTGTTCGTTTGTCAAAAGAATAAAATTTAATATTTTGGGTTTTATTTTCATTGTTTACTCAAATATTTATATTAAGGATACAAGGCCTAGGCATAATATAATAGTTTCACCAAGGAAACTAATCCTTTATACTGGTAAAGTTAATGAAATAACATTATAGGAATGCTATTAAATTTCAGATTTTATATATTAATTATTGAAAAATTTTAAAACTTGACTGCAATTAATTCATATATTTTTTAGAAATGAGCGTCGATGTCTTATTTTTTTAAACTTTAAATCGTTTTTTGAGAACGTTATTTCAAATTTCAAATTTTGATTTTACAGTAAATGTATTCCAACATGTTTAGAATTAGATATTAACTTTTGAGTCATTTATATGAAAAATCTATGGAAAAACAAAATTATATTATGTTAATTAGTTCAAATGTTCATGGCAAAAATAAAGGGTATGTTTTCTAAACATGCTGTAATACATTTCCAGTAAAATCCGATTTTTAAATTTAAAAAGGGCTCAGAAAAATAATATGTTGACTGAAAAAATACATTTGATACTATATACATATAAATTTAATTTTAATCTGTTATTTTAAATATAGATTTTTTTAAAAGTAAATTATACTTTTGTAAATTTTGCTTGATAACAAAAAAACGAAAATATATAAATAAATTTCAATAGTATATTTTACTAAAAAAATATCTCTTTAAATTACAGAATTAATATTATATTTATATAAACTAAATCTTCTCGTATATTTATAAGATAGAGAAAAAAAAAGTTTATATCAAATTTTAACTTAAATAATATTTAATAATCAAAAGATAAATAATTAAAAAAATTATTCAATAATATTAAAAAAACACAAAGATTAATATAATATTCCTAGAGTTTGGAACCTGGACTGAAAAGGATTTTGGTTCCATTCCTATATAAATTTTAAAAAGTGGTTCAGGTTCAAAATTTTAAAAGTCAGGTTTCTGTTTCTTAAATTTGATATGGTCTTAGGGGTTCCAGGTTCTGATTTTGATTCCAAACTCTGTTAAATTATTTTAAAAAAATCAAAATTTAAAAAATCAATAAACCCTATAAAATGAATATACAACATTTTAAACAATATACATGCCATATTGGGATATAGAATCCCTCAATTTTAAATCAATTATTTGGGGTGATTTCAAAATTTCAGCCTTTTGAATTGTATTCCAGCATGTGGAGAGAACACTCTGTGAATTACAATTTTGCTGTCAACATTTGTGTATTTATTTATTTATATGAAAAATCTATAGAAAATTAGTTCAAAAGTTCATGTTCTGCTTTTGCTAGAACACATTTTCAGTTAAATTTTTTATATAAATTTAAAAATACTTAGTGAAGATATAAAATTAAGAAATTCTGAATCCCCATGAATTCCATATTCCAGTAAACATATATATTAATATAAATTACTTGCAATATTATTAGAACAGATCTCGTTCCTGAAAATCTTATCTAAAAAATTATTAATAAGGGGTTTTAGGTTCTGGTTCCTAGATTTGTCCCAGTTTTAAGGGTTCTTGAATTTGGTTCCAAAGTCTGAATATGTCACAAAAGTACAGTTTTAATAATAATAAAAATACTAAATTTAGTTGTTGTAATGGAAAATTTAAATAAAAGTATAAATTTAACTCACACTTCATTACCAACAGAATTTGGGTTCAATGAGTTTAATGTATTTCTTGAGATTGATTGATGAGATACAAAATCTTATGAATCAAATTTTTAATAAATAAAGTAAAAATATGAATACCTTTAATCATTCTTTGGTTATATTCAGGACATTCATTAGTTGATGCAATTGTATAACAGAGTACTCCTTTTTCATTACCTGGAATTTAGAGAAATAAAAAAGAATTTTCTAATAAAACTTTACAGTTTGGATTATATGGTGGAGGAGGTTTTAAATTTGAGGATTTCATTATATTTGTAATATCAAATGTCTATAGATGATGAATCGATTTCAGGTATATAACGGCAAGACATCTGAAAACAAGAGTATCAAGTTAACAGTGCAAGGAATTTTATGACGTCATATCATATCTAACATATGAGGGGAATGATGAAAAAAAACATATGATATCGATAGTATTTAGAATTGATTAGAAAAGGTAACTCCGCTATTGAAAATTAAAAGAGCTGGAATCAAATTTAGATAATATGGAACATTAAATAGATATAATATCATAAAAGAAGAAATTATTTTAAAAACAATAAATTAGCAGGAAATTTTATAATTTCTCACAATTATTTGAAGAATTTATATTGTAATCTTTTCTAAGCCATTTATTAATTCTTCCAAATAAATTTGAATCCTTTCAAAATTTAAATAAGAGAATGCCTCTTCACAAGAAGACACAAATAAATGATAAGTATGTTAAACAGAATAACTAATAATTTATTGTTGATGAATTTACAATTGTACAAGGTTTTAAGTAATTTAAACATGCTAAATGTTAATATAATCGATTTTTGTTGTTTAATTTAAGCAGTTCAATTTATTATTTCTAATTTTTAATGTCTTAAATCTTTGTTATACATATATCCAAAGATATATTTTCGCATTCATTTACTCTTAAATTAAAGCCTTAAAATTTTTGATATATAGTTTTAAAAAAGCTGATATAAAGCATTAAAATATAATATAAAATTTAAAATAAAATTGCAACAAATATAAAAATTAAATATATTTAAAGAAATATTTCAAAAAATGAAATTGGTATTATTTACTAATAAAACTCTTCGTATAATTATTCTAACAAAATCGCTAAGATTCAAATTTGATGTACATTTTTAGCATGATAGCCAAGCTTCCGGCACTTGTTCCTTATCGTTATCAATAAACATTCCATTTAATAATTCTATTAGTGGAATCGTTATTATAAATATAAAACAAAATTCAAAACGTTTCTATTTAAAATTACTTTATTCCTACATACCGAAAAGAAAATTATAATACCGATATATTGTCAAAGGTATCGAATAATGTGAAGAAAAATGCTGTGGCGTCAAATAATTATTTTAAAAAAATATTGCGAAAAATAATTTAAAAATAGTTTTAGATGAAATCAATAATGATAAACCAGAAGTGGTTAGAAATTTAAAGGATAATCTATATAATCGTCCGGAATGTTTGGAGAGATCGGTGGTTATCCTCCAAGAATTAAAAGAAATGAAAGATATAATCAAAGTTAATGTATAAAAATTGATGAATATGAATAATAATATGATAAAGGCCAGATATGTGACAAAAATGTTCCAAATGAAAAAATGGTTTTTCAAATTCTAATGTGAGAAAAATTTTGGGTATTATAAGACAAATAAATTTGATGTGTTACAATTAGAATATGATGATTCTCTGGAAAAAACGGAACATGTGGCCATGAATTGTGCCAAAATGTCAAATAATTTAATCTGACTATAAGATTGCAGGTGTAATCATATAAAAGTGTAGAGACCTAGGAATTATAAAATTTTTTTTAATAAAATATATAATAATAGTAAAATGAGATATAATTCTTATAAAAGGAATGATTATGATAGAAATTTCTATTATTATGGTTTATAAAATTAAAAATGGTAATAACATAATCCGAATAAAAGGGATTATAATAATTTTAAATAGGAAAAATATCCTATGAGTATTGTAAAAAACCAATCAATATTGTTAAAAAGCCTCTAAATTCCGAGTTGAATTTATGCAAGAATTTAGATTCTAATGAAATTGATATTTCATATTTTTTTTTTCTCTTTAGCTTTCACCTTTTCTGGTGGTAAGCTCCTTCAACATCTCTCTCCACTTTATGTTATTCATACAATCTCTTTTATCTATTTTATACTTTTTTATATTGGCTCTAACTTTATGGCCCCATTGAAGTTTTGGCCTTCCTCTTTTACGTTTGCCCATCACTTCCAAACTTTCAACTTTATTTCCTATGTAGTTCATAGGCCTTCTCATTGTGTGCCCATACCACCTAAGTCTGTTTACCATTAACTTAGTCTTAATGGGCACTACCTTTAAACTATTTAGTATTCTTGTACTGCGCACCTTATCCTTTCTTGTTACCTCAGCAATCATCCTCAGCATTCTCATCTCCATAGTTTGTAGACTTCTCTCGTCTGATTCTTTGGTTGGCCATGTTTCCGAACTATATAGAATAGTTGGTTGTACTATGGAACTGTAGATTTTTCCCTTTAATTTGTGTGGGATTCTTTTGTCAAATAGCACTCCAGATAAAGATCTCCACTTTAACCACCCTTGATTAATTTTACTCTTTATCTCTTTTTCTATTGTGCCGTTTGTTTGTATAGTGGAGCCCAAATATTTGCAGCTTTCAATTGCGGATATCTGCCAATCATTTATATCAATACTCTCCGTTTCATCTCCTCCTATCACCATATACTCCGTCTTTTCTCTATTTACTTTTAATCCGTGCGTTTCTAGGATATTTATCCAATTCACTAACCTTTCTTTCATTTCATCCTTGGATTCGGCAAGTATCACAATATCATCTGCAAATATCATATTCCACGGGACTGTTTGAGGTATAGACTGTGCTAATACATCTATTACTGTAATGAAGAGAAGTGGGCTGAGAGCCGACCCTTGATGAACTCCTTCGGCTATTGTGAAGCCTGCTGAAGTACCTGTTGTGCTACGGACCATTGTTGTATGTCCCATATACATATCCTGTATTATTCTTATATATTTTTCGGGAACTTTTTTGTGGCGTAGCGCCCACCAGATAAGTTTTCTTGGGATTCTATCGAAGGCCTTTTCTAGATCGAGAAAGACCATGTGTAGCTTTTTGTTCTTTTCCCTGTATTTTTCACTCATTTGCCTAATTGCATGGATAGCATCGGTTGTTGATCTTCCAGGCATAAAGCCAAACTGTGTCTCTCCTATTTCGATTATATCTCTTAATCTTTTTCCTATTATTTTTTCGTATAGTTTTAGACAGTGTGACATTAGTTTTATGCCCCTGTAATTTTGACAATTGTGTGGATCCCCTTTATTTTTGAAGATAGGAACTAGATAGCTCTGCCTCCATTTTTGGGGAACCTCTTCATTTCCAAGTATTTTATTGTACAGATTTGTGAGGAGATGTATTCCATCATCTCCTAGTGCTTTAAGGCTTTCTATTGGAATATCGTCTGGACCCCTAGCTTTGTTGTTTTTCATATGCTTGAGGCATGGGATTATTTCTTGTTCTGTTATAGGTTGTACAAGGTTTTGACAAGGGGAGTGTTCATCGAGATGCAATATGTGAGAATTAAAGTTGAGAAGCTCCTGAAAATATTCTTTCCATCTATTCATTATTTCTTTTTCCTTTATTATCAATTTCCCATCTTTATTTTTGATTACTTTCGGAGCTCCGTTTATATCCCTAGAGTTCTTTTCTCGCTGTTTGGCTAATCTGTATATTTTATTTTGCCCTTCTTTGGTATGTAGATCTTCGTACATGTCATCGTATGCCATAGATTTGGCCCTAGCCACCGCCTTTGTAGCTAATCTCTTGGATTTTTTGTATCTTGACTTGTCATCTGCATTTTTGGATTTGTACCATATTTTATAAAGGGCTTTTTTCTCCTGTATAGTGGTTTGTACCTCTTGATTCCACCACCATAGTTCTTTGTGTGATTTGTTGCCTCCTCTTGTCAAGCCTAGCGTCGATTTTGCAGTGTCTATTAATCTGGATGAAAGGTCTGTCCAGATTTTTTCACTGACTTGTGAGCAATTTATTGTTTCAATGTTTGCATTGATTGCAAAGGCATCTGTCATTGTTTTTAATTTGCCCCATTTGATGCATGGTTCCAGTTTTATCTTATTTTGAGTGGATTTATTTGAGATTTGTAAATCCATGATTAGTAGCTTGTGTTGCGCGGCGATATCTTCTCCTGGGATGACTTTGCAGTCTATTACATCTTTTAATCTTCTGCGAGAGATTAGCATGTAATCTATCTGTGTTTTCCTAGTACCACTTTCATATGTTATTAAATGACTGTCTTTTTTCCTATAGTAGGTGTTGGTTAAGGCAAGGTCAAAGGCTTGCGCAAATTTCAGTACGTGCTCTCCTTCATCATTTCTTTCTCCGTATCCAAAACCACCATGATGCCTTTTGTAGCTATCTCTTGCTTTCCCCACATGCGCATTTAAGTCACCACCAATTATGACTAGGTCATCCTAAGGGATTTCCATTACAGCTTCATCAAGGATAGCTCTAAAGTCATCTTTCTCTTCTTCCTTGCAACCCGTTTGAGGAGCATATACTGATAGGATGTGTAGTATTGATTGACCAATGCAGAGTTTTATCTTCATTAGTCTATCAGAGATCCTGTTGACTTCTACTACTGAAGAGGTTAGGTCTTGGCTGAGGATGATGCCGACACCGTTCCTATTGCTAACAAGTCCATTAAAGTACAATTTATACCCATCTCCAATCATCAAAGTTTTCTGTCCTTTCCATTTCGTCTCTTGTATGCACGCTATATCAACTTTTCTCTTGTTCAACATTGATTCCAATTCTCTCGTCTTACCTTTAAGCGTCCCAATATTCAAACTTGCCAGTCTTGTCTTCTTTGCTTTGACCTTTACTTTATTTTTCACAGGATGGAGGTCTACACCCTGCGCGTCGCATGGAGGGAACGCCCTAGCTTTCATATTCATATTTTCATTTGTGTCCTTCATTTTCATATAATAAATATTAATCAGTCCATTAAGACATGTGAAATTTTAATGACTGAAAAATTAAATGAACAAGGTCCTTGTCCTCGGTTTAAATTGAGGATGAATCATATATACATTGATATGTTATTTGATAAGGGGGCTAGCATTTCAATGATATCTAAGGTAAATTATTACAAATAATGGTCTGAGGGTGGACTCAAAAAAGAGTCTATGAGTGTCAGACAATTTGATGGGTCTGAAATTAAGGTTTTGGATAAAACCAAATTGGGAGTGGTTCTCAATGATATAACCTTTTTTCTTAATTTGTGGGTGGTAAAAAAATGTTGAAACTATTATGGGGT